GTTGGGGGGGGGGGGGGGGGGAGATGAGCTCTGTTACTGTTGATGGTGAGTAGGGTCAACTGTTTATCCTTGGGTGCTGGGGGGGTTATGTTTGGTGGGTCTGTCTGTTGTAATCTTGTAAGCTGCCCAGAGTCACTTGTATGAGACGAGTAGTTATATACATCAAAATTATGCATAGATACTAAAGTGGGCAAGGGGAAGGACCACCCTTTTCTGTCTCTCTGCCACTCCTGTTTCCCCACTTTCTTGCCTTCTTACCATGCTGCTCTCACAGTCCAGGCAGGTAGGAACATCTCAGGAAAGCATGAGTCTGGCCTATTTTCTTTCTTCTAAACCTTGGCTCCTGCCTTCTGGATTTGAATGTCTGAGAATTAATTGCTTACAGAGCTTTCTAAATTAAAGATGCTTCCAGACTAGGCTTTCTGTGTGCGTGCATGTGTGCAATTAGCTTGCATCATTCATGGCATCTTAAGGGAGATCAAAGTAAGATGATCTTCCATGTTTACCCCTTCTACATGTTCCCACTGCTGCTTCCATCTTTTTTGTTACCACGAAAAATCTGCTCAAGAGAAAATAGCTGCACAATATCTTTTGATTAGTCTGATTGGAAGCCCTCCATCTGGAAAAAAAATCATACTCTGAAAGAAGTGTACAGTTTATTCACCACTTTGGAGCAGATTGTCAACATATGTTTTTACACCCTTCTCTTTGGAGATAATAACTATGAGATCGCACCAAATGCATTCAATTATTATTTTGTGCCAAAAGTGAATGTGGGAAAGGAAAATCTTCAGCTGTTGTGAAGGAAGCACAGGCTTGCATATGGATTAAAGATAAATGGAGAATGTGTCTCTGGGGTACATTCCCTGCTATTCCCATCACATGTTTGAACTCGACAGATCTGTTCTCCGTTCTCTTCATAAAACCGAGTGTGACTTCCGATCCTTAATCAGAAGCATTTGTACTATGCACTGTTAAAGCTGGTGCAGAATTACACAATGAAAACATTTAGCTATTTATTATCCGAGTATTCTGTAGGCTATGATTTCACAACACACTTATCAATGATTAATTTAACCATGGCTTATTTGTTTCAATTGTTTGGATTCCATGAGACCCTAAATCATAAATTGAGTCTACAGACTAGTTTTATACAACCCACTGCTTTAAAATACCATTTGCCAGTTGTGGATCAGTATGTCATGCAAATACCGCAACCGTGTCAGATCTAAATCTATAACCGCCTTTCGTTTCAAGGCATTTTAAAATATCTATCAGTGATTGCTCCCAGACCCAGGTTAGTTCCAGGGCAAGAAAAAGAAAAAGAAAAAAGCAAGACCAGCCAGATTCCTATTGGGAGTGGGGTAGGGGTAGGGTCACTTTTCAATTTCCTGTAATCTTTCTACAATAGAAAATAGATAGTCCCACAGTGAGAAGGGATACCCTAACTCTTCTGGGGATTAGACTGAACGTTTCCAACACCTCCTTCTTCTGCCCTCCAAACGGTGGACGAGGAGTACATGCACAGTATTTCAGACTGATTTACAGGCCAAGCTCATTCAGAAGCCAACCCCACCTCTCCCCACCACTCCCCCTCCATCTAGGGCTTGTTCTCTGATGGATGCATTCAGGCATGTTGCTTTGGTTGCTGCTGCTATTTCATTATATATTGTTTTCAGGAAGAAATGTGGGGGCAGATGACAAATTCCCACCACACACATCAGTTAAAAACAATGCAAGCAAACAGCAACAGGAAAAGGAAAAAACAGCAGAAACAATAGAATATAAAAATAATGGTAACAACCATAGCTGACTGCTTCTTGCAGCACTCTCTCTCTCTCGGTCATTTGATGTGCTAAAGTTCATCTGATTACTTCTATTTTACATCACTCCTCTTGAAACTAGTAGCTGTCATAACTGACCCCCTAAGTCAGTATATCCCATTTTCACATTAGATTTTAGCAGGGAGAAAAGGAGAGAAGATCCATAGACCAGCCATTTTTAACTCCTTTCCTTAAGGTGCTTCAGTGCCGGTTTGTTCCTCATTCAGTTTTAATATGCCTCCCTCCAGTCAGTTAGGAGTATAAAAGTATGCGGGCATAAATTGTTCTTACACTGTCTGTCAAGCTCTATTGTGCCTGAGGATGAGGCTGTGACTGGTGCTGCTTTTCGGTTTTAATGTAAGACCATTTCAGAACAGCAATTTGTAGATTCCCCGGCTTGTGTTTCCTCTTCAACCCAGCATCATGTCCAATAAATTGCTGCCTTAACTGTAGATGGTGTGAGTTTGGGCAGCTGTGGGCAGGTGTGTGGGACAGAAGCTTTAGTCATCTTCTGAGTGGCAGCTGGCCCGCACTGCTGGTCTGTCTGGCTGTTTGTGAAAATGGGTTTAATGCTCTAAAACAGTGTTTCTCAACCTTGGCAACCTGAAGTCCACATGTCTTAAAGTTGCCAAGGTTGAGAAACATTGCTCTAAAAAGAGTGCTGTTTGTTTAAACCAGTGTTCCTCAAAGTGTGGTCCGAGGACTGCTGCGCATCCCCCAAGACCCTCTCAGGGGTCCACGAAATCAAAATTATTTGCCAGCTTATGTTGAAAAATAATGCAGTATTAAAATCTCACCAAACAGTTGTGAGAAGCAGTAGTGGCAGTGAATGCATCAGTTTTCATTTTTAATACAGTAAATATCAATAAATAACATACAAACAAAATCTCTTTTGGAGTTTTCCATAATTTTTAAAGTGGGAAGGGGTCCTGAGAGGAAAAAAGTTTAAGAAACACTGGTTTAAACACATGTCTAGTGCTCTCCTGGAAAGCCACTGAACCTATAGTTAAATAGATGGCCTGTTTCAGGGTTCCTCAACCTCAGCAACTTTAAGATGGGTGAACTTCAACTCCCAGAATTCCTCAGCCAGCATGGCTGGCTGGGGAATTCTGGGAGTTGA